GTCCTCCTTTGCTCTCTGTTCCCGTAGACGGTCTGCCGCCGTCTTGAGCCGCCCGACGCGCTCCTCCTCATCTTCCGTTTCTTTGTCCACGCAGCTGAAGATTACTTCATTAAACGTCTCGTGGAGGCGCTCAAGGCAAAGTGTGGGGTCGGTTAGACTCGCCACCCACATGGCGCCCGCGAGCACCTCCTCAATGGTGCGCTGCGGAAGTTCCGGCGCAATCCTCGTCCCTGTTTCCTCCATTACCCCCTGCTGCTTTTCCCCTCCTGATTTTTTGGCGTGCATCCCAATTAAAGGCGCAAAAATTAAAAAAAAAAAAAAGAAATTTAAAGAAATATAAATAAATAAGAAAATTTAAAAAAACACCACGGAGATCACAAAAAAAAAAAAAAAAAAAGACAGTTTGAAAAATATATATATAACACTAACGCGTCACAATTGAATATAAAATGACGGCAAACACACCCCGCATTTACATTGCAAAGAAGAAGAAAAAAAAAAAAAAGGCTCCGCATTACAAGGCAAGAGCATCCTTTGCAGTCAACTCAAAACAAAAATTCCGTTTTTCATTTTGTTGTTGTTCCGCAGCCTCTTCTTTGTTGTTCTACACCTCTTCGTGCTCTCTTGAAGCAGGCAAAAAAAAGGAAAAAAAGAAAACGTGGGTCAAACATGGAATTCCTTTGTCACAATTGTGAATGCCACCAGTCAGTATAGTTACGATTACAAATTTGTGTGGTACTTAACCGTATTTTTTTTTTTATAAAAGTTAAAATTCAGAGCTTACTACCACTCGTTAAAGTACCTTTTTTGTACACACTACACATGGACTCGTACCTTTCCACATCCCACAGGCATCCAAGTGCAATAGGTGTTTTCTGCTCCATTTCTACCACGCGCACATCCATCATATTCTTCGTACCTGTCGTGGATCGTCCACCTGCACACTCCACGAGGAACGCCATTGGTGCTGCCTCAAAAAGCAGCCGGAGTTTTACCTTGTGGTGTGGGCTCTCCGGAGTCATGTAGATACCATCGCCCTTCACGATGATCTGACACACGTCGGCCACCATTCCCCCCGTGTAGCGCAGCGTCGCCCCGCTGTTCATATACGACGTGACAAGTTCCTTATACCACGGCAGGTACATCACCGCGCGAAGATTCCCGGGGGCAAATAAAGTCGCTCTTGACTTGAGAGTGCGCGGGACTCCATTTTGCACACGGGTCCAGCGGTCTCCATGGTAATAAAACTCCACCACACCCACCGGACGCAACGACACAAAAAGCACAGTCCGCGGGCCGTATACCGCCACAACACTCGCCACCATATCACGCACGCGCAGCCCAATCGGCGTGGCACCAGGCCAGAGAGCAAAGATCGAACCGACAGAAAAATTCGTCGCGATGATGCTGCTGCCATCCAGCGGGTCATAGGAGACCGTGTACATGCCCCGCCCCAAGTGCGGTGTCGAAGTGAGCGTCGGTCGCTCCTCTGAGACAAACGCCAAAACATGGCGGCAGCCAGTGAGGCATGACGAGATGTGTTTTTCTGCCATATCATCCACCGAAAGCACCTCGTCACCAAAACTGTTATTCGCCCCCACCGCCCTCACGGTGTCTGTACGAAGATCTATTGATATCTCGCGGCACGCCTCTGCAATTGCCGCCACAACATCCGCCACAGACGACGGCACACCCTCACCCTCAAGTTCTTCCAAAAAAGTCGTCGAGTCTGACATCGCCGTAACCGTCCCTTTTTGCTGTTGTTATTGTTGTTATGTGTGTGTGTGTGTGCGGAACCTGCTGTCTTGTACCTGTCTCACCTTCCAGCCACTCTGCAAGTAGAGGAAAAAAAAAGCATGTGGGTCAGTTCACAATTATTTTCTGCAAAGTAAAGAAAGGCATCTAAAGAAAAACGCAGCATAAATGCACATACCGCCCATAATAAAAGAAAAAACCGACGCCAGCCAACAGAGAAGCACAACAAAGAAAAAAGAGAAACAAGTGACCACGGGCCTCCGTAACAGAAAAATCTCTCCTCTCATTTCCCCAACGATATTCTACAACGGTACTCTTAAGCATCATACATAGCAAAAAACAGGAACCATGTGTTTCCATCAATTTCCCTTTATTCTACAAAATGCATATTAATTCAATAGCCGACAAGAGAATTTTAAAAAAAATTCCTTATTACCCGCAACCATTAAGTACAAACACACAAAAAAAGTGCCAACCGCACCCTTAAACCAGTCTCAAAAGCCCCACCTCCCTATGCCTACAGGCTCAGTGGCCTAGCCCCACAAACTACAATCCGCTAAGATATGTTTTAAAACCACACATCGTCATTTGGATTGCACATCGTCTCACAAAGCGCATTCTTACTGCTGGCGGTTTCGTCTCACACCGCGCTAAGATACTGGGAAATTTGAAATGGCAGAGCAACCACGACCCCGGCGTCCTAATGGGCGTTCTTTGCCTTTGGCCATGCGATGAACCGCCATCCCCGCACTGACGGCTTGTCCAACACCGCCGGCCCACCCTGCGACGGGCACTTCCAACGCCTCATAAATACTACCCGCCCTTTTCACAAGCAGCGCATGCTGTGCGGATTTCCGCAAATTCAGTTCTTTCCCATCGCTCGTCGAGGTGACGGATCGTAACACAGTGTCCTTCCACAAATCGTCACACACATTCGCGCGCCGTTGGATTCATCCGCCGTCGGATTCACTTCAGGGAGTAAAAGTGCACACGTCCACTCCTCGCCGGGGCAGGCAATCCTCCTTCTCCTCCCGCAACGCAACCCGGCGGCGATGGGTGCGCCGGACAATGCTGTGGCCCTCAGAAAATATGGTCGTGTGCCGTCCTTCCCCGGCGTCAATTGTGCCCACAGCACCGTCGCCCGGCGCGCCAACTCGTTTCCACCAACGGTGTCAACCGCACGACGTGTTGGGGAGGTGGCCCACGGCATCACCACGAGCGCAGCGCTGAGAGGAACCCATGGCCCACGGCATCACCCGTACATTGATGACGATGTCCCACCTGTGCCGTCCCAGAAGTCATTGCTTCCGGGGCCAAAAGCCTTTTTTGTGTGTGGGTATAGGTCTCCTTGCGCAGCTTCACTCGGCACGCCGTGTTGTGTTGTCCAATCCGACCACGTTTGCGGCATCGTGCTTCATTGGGCGGGGGTGCGGCATGCTATTTCTTTGCTCTCTGAACCGCCTGGAGGAATGGGCGATCCCATTTCTGGGCATTTAGACAGCACCCTGAATGTCCTCGACCCGCGCTCCAGCATCGTTATTCACTGTCCGGAGGATCCATTTGACTGAGTGTACGCGGTCGCCCTGACAACCGGCACGATTCCGTAAGCATCTCTTCCCCGCGAATGGCGCACGCCCAGGACGCACCGTTCCCCTCACGGCTGTCTGCATGCCGGAACCTGGCGCAGCCGGCGTCGCAAAGGTGGCCCAAGACGCATCCAGGAGCTGTGGCCAGGCGTTGCATCCATCATGCATTTCAATACGCCGTCAAATGGTGCGACTGCGATCCTCCGTACAAATCCCTGCCTCCCACGGATTCCCCACTTGGTCCCCCGTGTGCCGAGTGAAAACTCTAATTCCTCTGGCACGTCATGAATTTGTGGGATCCTTCGATTGTCTCTGCCGTATGGGACGCATTCCAACTTCCCGCGGCAGAATTGGTGGAGACTTGTGACGGGCCTGGCTGAGCGCTAATGCGCGCCAAGTTGCCGTTCCATTGATGGATGTGGACGGCTCTTGCGTCGGCGCCAATCCAATGCGCACCGCACGGAAATGCGCGTGGGCATCTGAGCTGCACGCCAATATTTTTTACCCTCCAACCGAGCCCGGGCACACTCATATGTGCCAGTGCAGCGCCAACTGCCTTCCTTCAAGTGCCGCCCACCTGCTCCAAACAGCGGTGTGCTTCTTCCTCTTCATAGAGGCTCGAATGGACTCAGGGTTCCTCGGCACGGTGATGGCAGCCACAGCGTGTCGCAACAAAGCGCAATTCATTCCTTTGTCTTGGCCCCGCCTAGTAGCTAGTTCACCGCCCGCTAATGGTGAGAACACCGCCCACGTGGTGGCTCAATGGCGGGCTGGTCGCTGGGAAAAAACAGATTGAAGAAATTGCCGTTGGATCTCACGCCCTCAGAGAACTTGGGGTGTTTCTCGTGGTCACCGTCCAATCCATAAACCATCCTAGCAACTCAATTCCCTTTCAAAAAATGTGCTTAAAAAAAAACTACACATGCAATAATGCATTGGAGAGAGAAACGCATGTATGGGTTGTGGGCATTTTTATCCGAGACACGTGACATCAAGCCGAAACATTCCCCTCGCAAGCCGTCAAGTAAAAAAAAAAAAAAAAACATCAACAAAACGATCGTGGATGCACGTACCGTTTCAAACGTAATTCCTAAATATTTATTGAACTATGTGCCTCAATAGATACAAGCCACTGATATCCATGGGTACATATATGTCTCTCTGTATAGATATATATATATATACATTTACATTAACAAATGTAAAGAGAAAAAAAAAAAGAAAATACATGGTTTCTTGAAATGTATTTGCTAATATATATTTCATTATCATAATCGAACACAATAGCAACAGCAACAACAAGAAAAACAAAAATAGATACATCCAGTTCAAAAAAAAAAAAAAAAAAAAGGGTTGGGTACATCCAAGGTGTGTCTGCGTCCGTGTCAATATATAATGGTCTACATTTCCCAATATTACATTATATATACAAATAAAGAAGAAGCAATGAAAACCTCAATAAAAAAAAAAAAAAGCAGAAAGAAAAAAAAAGCAAAAAAACACACGCAGCAAAAAAAAAAAAAAAAAAAAGAAAAAAAAAAAAAAAGAAGGTGAAGGACTCGTCCACGGAAAAAAATGCCAAATAAATTTATTCACTAAATTCAAAAAAAAAAAAAAAAAAATCCACAAGAACGGAGAAAAAAAAAAAACCTCAAATTCTGGGATTCCAATCGGCGCGGTAATATTCGGTTCAAAAAGACGCAAGGTTGGTGGATGATGAAGTCCTAAACCCCCCACTCCACCCCTCTTCTACTTCCTCGTCACAACACATGGTACGAGGCATGAGCAACAAAGCAAAGAAAAACAGAGAAGACAAAAAGAAGGGAAGTTAAAAAAAAAAAAAGGTGCGACAAGTATCAACACCCCATCGACCGAGGGCAGATGATGCCTTCGTAATAAATATAGAATTCACTTATGCAGAATGCAGGAGAATGCTCTCCAGAAGGAAAATGACCGACAATAGGAAGGATCAGGGTAGCAGCACCATCGTCTGTGTCAGAGCTCATTTGGGTAGGAGACGCCGGATTCTCTCGCGGTATTGGTGCAGGCGGTCCCTCGATTCCCCTCGGCGCGTAGACCCCGACTCCTGATAGGAGGATCCCAAGCACGCATTCGGGATATCGGCACTTTCAGGCTGAAGCTGCGACCCCTGCTGTCGCTGCAGCCCCAGCACCTCGCTTACCTCATTCAAATTCACACGCCGTTGTTGCTGCGCCTTGGTATAATCGGTCCGCAGCGGCCAAGGCAACGCACGGGGAGAGAGCGCAACATTTGGAAGCTCCACCCCGCGATCCCACGTCGGTAAGTGCTTCTCATGCGGCACATAAAGAGGTTCTTCGGGCACGCTGGGGCATTGTTTGAGGTCAGTCCTTGGCTGCCGGTACCGTAGCCCAGGCCGAGGGTACCCGACCGAATTATTCACGTAAAGGCCGTGGTGCTGTCGGGCAGCAACAGATTTCGGTATTTTTGAAAGGTTTGCACGAATTTTGGCTTGCCGCGGCGTCACACGCAGCGGCTGCAATTCTTGCATGACGGGGTTTCTCTCACGCCTGTAAACCTCCCAGACATTCTCAAACATGGTCGCGTTCAATAATTCATCAATTTGCCCCTCAGTAATGGAATCGCTGTGTTCAACGTAGAAATCAATAACAAGGTTCTCACTAACATAGTAACCCGCAATACGCACGTCCTCAGGTCTGACATGTAGCACTTCCACAACGTCCTTCACAAACGCGGCGCCCACAAGTTCCCCATTAATCTTACTGGACCAGTCTGCTCCCACAAACCCGACGCGGTGAAAGGTCGTCGTACGACCAACAGAACCCTCGGCGATACACTCATCATGAAGGCGCCACATCGACAAAAATGGTGCATCATCCAACATGCGAAGGACCTCGTTTTGTGACAAGGAAGACAAGTGCTCCAACAACACCGTCACAACAACATCCCCCGAAGAACTACAAGAAACACCCTCAACCGACCTTGGAACAAATTTGCTAATGTCCGACAAGTCGTAAAGAAAGCAGTCCTTCAAACGCGATAAATGCTTATCCACAACGCTCCTCCACCCCTTTCCAACAAAGCCAATACGGTACACCGCAAACAACTTTGAGGGCTCCACTGAGTGCGAAAAATGTCTATTCTCTTCATCACGATCAACTAAACCATCCTTCTTCCGAAATAAAGAGTCCACCACATCTGCAGACTGTAAACCGGCAGATCGCACATCCTCCATAATGCGTAAAGGTACAGCAACATCCTGAATCCCCACAGGACTCTTACGCACAAAAGAGCACCCCTCAGCGGCAGAGAGCACAGGCAGCATGGAATCAGAGGCCCCAGTACGAGGCACTGCGTCACCCACAGCGTCTCCCGTTTGCTGATCTTCATTCCGCCGGTCATACAGCCTCCATACCTCATCAAAGTTGCATTCGCCAAGACGCTTATCCACATCACGCTTAGAAAGCGACGGCGCGTGACGAACACCAAACGCAACCGACAGACTGCCCAAGGTGAACTCTACATCCGCCACTGACCCACGTGGAATGCCCACCGCCCCACAAACGTCGGCATCAAACGCCTCACACAACGCAGCACGCTTCCGCTCCAGAACAGCATCCCAGTCGTCACCGTCAAACTGCACACGGTGGTGTGTCACCACTAGCTCCTCATCACGATATTCAGCAGCATAGAGCGCAGGAGGCAGAGCATCACACGACAGGAGCATCGGCGAGATGGCATCACGATATTCAGCAGAATAGAGCGCAGGAGGCACAGCATCACACGACTGGAGCCTCGGCGAGATGGCATCCCGATATTCAGCAGAATAGAGCGCAGGAGGCAGAGCATCACAAGACTGGAGCATCGGCGAGATGGCATCACGATATTCAGCAGAATAGAGCGCAGGAGGCAGAGCATCACACGACAGGAGCATCGGCGAGATGGCATCACGATATTCAGCAGAATAGAGCGCAGGAGGCACAGCATCACACGACTGGAGCCTCGGCGAGATGGCATCCCGATATTCAGCAGAATAGAGCGCAGGAGGCAGAGCATCACAAGACTGGAGCATTGGCGAGATGGCATCACGATATTCAGCAGAATAGAGCGCAGGAGGCAGAGCATCACAAGACTGGAGCATCGGCGAGATGGCATCACGATATTCAGCAGAATAGAGCGCAGGAGGCAGAGCATCACACGACTGGAGCCTCGGCGAGATGGCATCCTGATATTCAGCAGAATAGAGCGCAGGAGGCAGAGCATCACAAGACTGGAGCATTGGCGAGATGGCATCCCGATATTCAGCAGAATAGAGCGCAGGAGGCAGAGCATCACACGACTGGAGCATCGGCGAGATGGCATCCCGATATTCAGCAGAATAGAGCGCAGGAGGCACAGCATCACAAGACTGGAGCATCGGCGAGATGGCATCCCGATATTCAGCAGAATAGAGCGCAGGAGGCAGAGCATCACACGACTGGAGCATCGGCGAGATGGCATCCCGATATTCAGCAGAATAGAGCGCAGGAGGCACAGCATCACAAGACTGGAGCATCGGCGAGATGGCATCCCGATATTCAGCAGAATAGAGCGCAGGAGGCACAGCATCACAAGACTGGAGCCTCGGCGAGATGGCATCCTGATATTCAGCAGAATAGAGCGCAGGAGGCACAGCATCACACGACTGGAGCATTGGCGAGATGGCATCACGATATTCAGCAGCATAGAGCGCAGGAGGCACAGCATCACACGACTGGAGCATTGGCGAGATGGCATCACGATATTCAGCAGCATAGAGCGCAGGAGGCACAGCATCACACGACTGGAGCATTGGCGAGATGGCATCCCGATATTCAGCAGCATAGAGCGCAGGAGGCACAGCATCACACGACTGGAGCATCGGCGAGATGCCATCCCGATATTCAGCAGCATAGAGCGGAGGAAGCATGGAATCAGAGGCCCCAGTACGAGGCACTGCGTCACCCACAGCGTCTCCCGTTTGCTGATCTTCATTCCGCCGGTCATACAGCCTCCATACCTCATCAAAGTTGCATTCGCCAAGACGCTTATCCACATCACGCTTAGAAAGCGACGGCGCGTGACGAACACCAAACGCAACCGACAGACTGCCCAAGGTGAACTCTACATCCGCCACTGACCCACGTGGAATGCCCACCGCCCCACAAACGTCGGCATCAAACGCCTCACACAACGCAGCACGCTTCCGCTCCAGAACAGCATCCCAGTCGTCACCGTCAAACTGCACACGGTGGTGTGTCACCACGGAATCCTCAGGTGCCACAACGCCGTCCGCCACACCACCACCAACGGGCTCATCCTTAATCATCATAAGGTTCCGTGGTTCGTACAGCTCCCACGTCTTACAAAATTCGCACCGTGCAAGACGCTTATCCACATCACGCTTACGAAGCGAAGGCGCATGACGGACACCAAACTCGGCAAAGAGACCTCCACTTTTAAACTCCAAATCCACCACTGACCCACGAGGAATGCCCACCGCCCCACAAACGTCGGCATCAAACGCCTCACACAAAGCAGCACGCTTCCGCTCCAGAACAGCATCCCATTCGTCACCGTCAAACTGCACACGGTGGCGTGTCACCACAAGCTCCTCCTCATAATTTGACATCATCACATTCTCAATTGGCACTGCACTCTCCTCCTGGTGCCCACCCAGCATGCTCAGACGCGGCTTCACCACACTGACGACTGACCGAGAATAATCTCCACGTACAAAAGACATTTTTGTCGTGGACTGCGTTTTCGACGAGGTGCGTGGCAACTCCTCGTATCCCTGTAGAACAGGCAACTCCTCCGATGCCTGTAGAACAGGCAACTCCTCCGATGCCCGTAGAACAGGCAACTCCTCCGGTGCCCCAGTACGAGGCACTGCGTCACCCACAGCGTCTCCCGTTTGCTGATCTTCATTCCGCCGGTCATACAGCCTCCATACCTCATCAAAGTTGCATTCGCCAAGACGCTTATCCACATCACGCTTAGAAAGCGACGGCGCGTGACGAACACCAAACGCAACCGACAGACTGCCCAAGGTGAACTCTACATCCGCCACTGACCCACGTGGAATGCCCACCGCCCCACAAACGTCGGCATCAAACGCCTCACACAACGCAGCACGCTTCCGCTCCAGAACAGCATCCCAGTCGTCACCGTCAAACTGCACACGGTGGTGTGTCACCACGGAATCCTCAGGTGCCACAACGCCGTCCGCCACACCACCACCAACGGGCTCATCCTTAATCATCATAAGGTTCCGTGGTTCGTACAGCTCCCACGTCTTACAAAATTCGCACCGTGCAAGACGCTTATCCACATCACGCTTACGAAGCGAAGGCGCATGACGGACACCAAACTCGGCAAAGAGACCTCCACTTTTAAACTCCAAATCCACCACTGACCCACGAGGAATGCCCACCGCCCCACAAACGTCGGCATCAAACGCCTCACACAACGCAGCACGCTTCCGCTCCAGAACAGCATCCCAGTCGTCACCGTCAAACTGCACACGGTGGCGTGTCACCACAAGCTCCTCCTCATAATTTGATATCATCACATTCTCAATTGGCACTGCACTCTCCTCCTGGTGCCCACCCAGCATGCTCAGACGCGGCTTCACCACAGTGACGACTGACCGAGAATAATCTCCACGTACAAAAGACATTTTTGTCGTGGACTGCGTTTTCGACGAGGTGCGTGGCAACTCCTCGTATCCCTGTAGAACAGGCAACTCCTCCGATGCCCGTAGAACAGGCAACTCCTCCGGTGCCCCAGTACGAGGCACTGCGTCACCCACAGCGTCTCCCGTTTGCTGATCTTCATTCCGCCGGTCATACAGCCTCCATACCTCATCAAAGTTGCATTCGCCAAGACGCTTATCCACATCACGCTTAGAAAGCGACGGCGCGTGACGAACACCAAACGCAACCGACAGACTGCCCAAGGTGAACTCTACATCCGCCACTGACCCACGTGGAATGCCCACCGCCCCACAAACGTCGGCATCAAACGCCTCACACAACGCAGCACGCTTCCGCTCCAGAACAGCATCCCAGTCGTCACCGTCAAACTGCACACGGTGGTGTGTCACCACGGAATCCTCAGGTGCCACAACGCCGTCCGCCACACCACCACCAACGGGCTCATCCTTAATCATCATAAGGTTCCGTGGTTCGTACAGCTCCCACGTCTTACAAAATTCGCACCGTGCAAGACGCTTATCCACATCACGCTTACGAAGCGAAGGCGCATGACGGACACCAAACTCGGCAAAGAGACCTCCACTTTTAAACTCCAAATCCACCACTGACCCACGAGGAATGCCCACCGCCCCACAAACGTCGGCATCAAACGCCTCACACAACGCAGCACGCTTCCGCTCCAGAACAGCATCCCATTCGTCACCGTCAAACTGCACACGGTGGCGTGTCACCACAAGCTCCTCCTCATAATTTGATATCATCACATTCTCAATTGGCACTGCACTCTCCTCCTGGTGCCCACCCAGCATGCTCAGACGCGGCTTCACCACAGTGACGACTGACCGAGAATAATCTCCACGTACAAAAGACATTTTTGTCGTGGACTGCGTTTTCGACGAGGTGCGTGGCAACTCCTCGTATCCCTGTAGAACAGGCAACTCCTCCGATGCCCGTAGAACAGGCAACTCCTCCGGTGCCCCAGTACGAGGCACTGCGTCACCCACAGCGTCTCCCGTTTGCTGATCTTCATTCCGCCGGTCATACAGCCTCCATACCTCATCAAAGTTGCATTCGCCAAGACGCTTATCCACATCACGCTTAGAAAGCGACGGCGCGTGACGAACACCAAACGCAACCGACAGACTGCCCAAGGTGAACTCTACATCCGCCACTGACCCACGTGGAATGCCCACCGCCCCACAAACGTCGGCATCAAACGCCTCACACAACGCAGCACGCTTCCGCTCCAGAACAGCATCCCAGTCGTCACCGTCAAACTGCACACGGTGGTGTGTCACCACGGAATCCTCAGGTGCCACAACGCCGTCCGCCACACCACCACCAACGGGCTCATCCTTAATCATCATAAGGTTCCGTGGTTCGTACAGCTCCCACGTCTTACAAAATTCGCACCGTGCAAGACGCTTATCCACATCACGCTTACGAAGCGAAGGCGCATGACGGACACCAAACTCGGCAAAGAGACCTCCACTTTTAAACTCCAAATCCACCACTGACCCACGAGGAATGCCCACCGCCCCACAAACGTCGGCATCAAACGCCTCACACAACGCAGCACGCTTCCGCTCCAGAACAGCATCCCAGTCGTCACCGTCAAACTGCACACGGTGGTGTGTCACCACGGAATCCTGGTGATAATTCTCCGTTACTATCATGGTCTCAACTGGCATTGCACTCTCCACAGCGCGATTACCGCCTAGTAGAATTCGTCGCGGCGTGATAATGGTAACCTCATTTTTTGTAGAGGGATTTTCTGGGATTCGTGTGGCCCACTGAAGGGTTGGTAAATCATGTGCCGCGATTTGGGTTCCAGAGAATCGCTTTTTGTGTGTCAAATCGCTGTTTTCTTTTCCCTTATTTTTGAATCTGCTTGTTGCCCCGTCGTTTTTCTTTTTATATATATTCCGGATGTGTTGGTATTCGTGTTCTGACAACTGACGGTTCATTATTGGTGAACCCTCGTTGTTTTCATAGGTCGCTGTAAACATTACAATCAGCTTTTCGTCCTCAAAGCATAGTCTCGTTTGAAATTTGCCAGAAGTACCCGTGGCGTCAGAAACGTCGTGCTCGATGGCCTTTTGAATTTCCTCCATGTGTTCTTTTAGAATAGAACCCCATGAAGCCCCTGAAAAGCTCATTTGGTGAGTTGAGGAATGCGTTGGGGAACCGCTGACTACAATATTGTCCTTATTTTGATGGATTTCTCTTGCGGTGGAAGGCGTAGCAATATATTGACTAATGTCTTTTTTGGCATTACTTTCCATCGGCTGCCCATCCTCATTATCTCGGTTGATTTTCTTGGCTGGTGCTGGAGAAACTAACGGGTTTTCTGTAGTAATTAGCTGAGGTGTCCCATATTTTTCCCCCCCTCTGTGGTATAGCGCCCAAACTAGTGCATAATCGTATTTAATCAGCGCTTGATTTATATCCCTTCCCAACATGGATATGGGGTGGCGAATTGAAAAATGCGCCACAAGTGATCCGACAGAAAAACAAATTCCAAAAACATCTATCTCAGAGAGTCCCAACGCCTTTGCAGTTGAACTGCGAAAAGCCCCGTAAAGTTCGTCATAATGTTGTTCCATGAGGAAACCCCATCCAGCACCACCAAATTGCAATTTATGACGGGTTGTAACAAAGCCATCGTTAGAATCTCGTAGTTCGTCTAATTCAAGATCCTCAATTTGTGTCACTTCTTCGCACGTTATGGAAGTCGCACTTGCCGCGCTTTCTGTGCCAACTTGATTGGGCCTATCGGCTGTAGCGGAACCAAATAAATCTTTCTTTTCCCCTCCCCATAACATATCTTTTTGCGAGCACCCTGCGCTACTTCTAAAATCCTCCATATCTTCCAGCACCCACCGCTTTTTAATAATAATAATATTACGAGCAATTTTTCTTGTAGCTATTATATATGTATATATATATTAAAAAAAAAAAAAACTCCTTTTATATACACAAAAAAGAAAAGCTTTACTTTTTCCTCAAACCTTTTTCTTCACTATTGTTGTTGTTGTTTTGATTTTAAGTACAAAGAAAGAAAGAAAAAATATGGCGACAATAATAATAATAGCGTGGATAATCACATGCATGCACATAAAACCTTCAAAAAAAAAAAACACATCATAAAACCTGTCCCTCTTCCAAAGAAAAACAAAGCAAAAAAAAGATTATAGGCAAATTAAATTACAGCATTAAAGAGTTTTCCTTTATAATGATCTTTATTTTTACCCATATTTTAAGAAATTATATATTAAATCATTAATCAGGTCTCTGACGCTTTATAAATCGTATTTCAGGTCTTGAAATATTTTTTTTCCCCATCTCAAGACTTGTGTGTTCACATCTTCCGTCAAGTTCCATGGCTCTATGTATCTCTTTTCCAAAAACGTCTTTGCCAAAATGCGGCATGTCAATGACCCACGGAATATCATCGGTATTAATCCAGGATTCACAGTTATTACCTCTCTGATCCTGCATTTGTACAGTGCTTGCATATGGCTCTAAATGAAGAGGATCATATGGCAAAAACAAACTCGGGCCCTCTTCAATATTTTGCTTCCCACCTTGATCAATATGAACTTCTACCAGGCCATCACCTTCCACTAAAGAGGGAAGAGGTATTTTTCTAGAAGGTGTAACACTAAAAGGCTCCCCTTCTAGAAAACTTATAAAAGAGCCCTTTCCATATACAACTCCAAATTCATAAGATCTAATTGCCAATTGATCACCTTTTTTTTGCCATTCACCCCATGCAGCCCGAGAAAGATTGGCGCTTGTTAAAATAAACCATTTGATTCCATCTTTTTTTTCGTTAAGACGCATATAGGTTTTTAGGTGAGGTAATGCTCTTCTTCTTAAAAATTCTATTTTGCAGAGGCCTCTTGTACCTTGTCCCCAGCGATGTAAACGCCTGTTTATATAGGGATGACAAGAGCTTAACCGCAGAGGAAGAGAAAGACCGCCACGCCACCCCTCTAAGCTCTCCCTCACTTCAGACTCAGTTGGATACACTATTTGAACCAACGGGCGTAAGGGTTTCTTATTCGCTTCTTCAATGCTCTTCCACTCTGTCGACATTGCATTTTCCAGCGCATTTAAAAAGGAATTTGTTAGTTTTCCTTGAGAAGAAAACTGCCATATTAACAACGGCGCCCGAATACTGTCACTCAATTCCGTATCTATAGAATGCAGGACCTTTGGTATTCGTCCCAATCCAAAAGAATGAATATCAGTATATCGATGATATCCCGGAATAGATGTTATGATTTCTACGCAAACGGCACTAAAATCAATTTCATCAAATAGGGTACTTGGAATAGCCACTGTATTCTCCGTATTAGATATTATGCCATAGCAATTTAAGTACCTCAAAAGCTCATTTTTAAATTTGTTTCCTCGAATTTCATTTCCAGCAGAAAAAGTTAAATTTGCTTGGTCGGTTTTAGGTGAATTCTGCTTTCGTGGAAAATCCTGCACGTATATACCTTGTGATTTGTAAGCCCAATCATCTTGTATAAAATTCGCCGTAAGTACTGCAACTCGAATACCGTTTGCATTCACACATAAGACAAGCTTGCTGTGATGCACGCCAAAAGGAAGTGGCAATTTCGGTTCCACAATTCTAACCTTTTCGGCCTTAATGTACCGAAAAAGAAAAGAAGATTGAATTTTTTTTTCATATTCTTTTTCACCTGACACGATAAAAATTTGTTGCTTAGTCTGTAACAATGATGGAGCCACACGAACAAGCCACTCGATGTCTATCATGTAATTAGCTAAAAGAACGTAGCTCCAAACCTCCTCCTGATCATTCACATCGCAGTAAAGTAAATCGCCTAATGTCAAAGCAGAGGGATTGTCGACGGAAATTCCATCCACTCTATTGACCCAAAAAGGACATAACAACTTATTCATTGTCTAATTTATAAATAAAATCCTTTTTGATGTCGTGTATTATAGAAAAAAAAAAAAAATTAAACAAGTTCACCCCACGCACACATACATCTACGACAAAAAGTAGGTATTTACTAATGAAATCAAGAAATAAATACATAAATAATCACATATAAAATAAATCAAAAAAAATCTGGAGTTATTGTTTATTTTTGAAAACGCCAATGTCCATTACGCTCGCCAAAAAAAAACAAAAAAACATAAATACACATTTGAAAACAGCAGAGGTAAAGACAACACATCAAAAAAAGTATCCAGTTATATACTATTCTTTCTTTCTAATCATTATTTTTTTATCAGCAGCTACAGTGTTTATGCGTGAGAGTTTCATTATCATCATGTTTCTCAATCAATTGTACCTTAACACCCCGAGAAGTCTGTGCAGGTGGCCCTAGTCCCACAAAGTTCCGTTTTTTCACCCCATCTTTTATCTTTCCTGATTGTGGGTGTAATATACGATCCGCTTCGTTGATCCTGGCAATTACACTCTTCGCAATTCCATTAAACGGTTCAGATATATGAATTGATAACTTTGCGCTAACATTGTAGTGTTTCGCATTTTGCTGATTTGCCCATTCTTCAGCTTCTTTCACTGTGACGCTTCTTTGGCGCTCCAAGTCGATTTTATTACCAACAACTACTACCGATATGTTTTGATTACCAACCACTTGTTGAAGTTCCTTTAACCATATTTTTACCTTTAAAAAGCTCTCGTAGTCTGTGATATCGTAAACAAGTATGGCACCTTGTGCATCACGGTAGTATATGGGTCCTAAAGCGTGGTAGCGTTCTTGGCCAGCAGTATCCCATATAGACAGCTTTGCCTTAGCCCCATCGGAGACAGTAACGGTTACGTTAGCGTACATGGACGCTTTAGTTGTGGATTCACATTCTTCCTCAAATGAATCACTAACGAAGCGTTGAAGTAAGGATGTTTTTCCCACACGGCCTTCCCCCAGCATCACTATTTTCATATTGGTAATATCCCTTGACATCCAAATAGTTCCTTAGCAAAAAGTTTTTGGGGCCACTATTTTTTCTTATCCTCTTTTTTTTTTCTTTTTTTTTTCCGTTCAAAGAGTAATAGATAAATATATATGGTTGTAATGCTGCATAAATTTTACTTACTATTTTTGCACCTTCATACAATATTTTAAGTAGCAGTAATTTTTGCGAGTGTTTTCTTAAAAAAAAAAAAAAACAGATAATTAGATTTTTAAAAGAGTTTAGGAACATGTTATTTTTCTATGTATTTACAGTTTTCATTATGGACAGCAACCAAAATAATAATAATAATAATAATAATAATAATAAAGAATAACGGCCCCTCAAAAAAGTAATTTCTATGAACTTCTCTTGCCATTCGGGAAGTTTATTTTAATTTTTATCCACTTTGAAAAAATAGCGCAGGTACTTCACTAAGCAGAAGCCTTCTTAAAAAGATCAATTTCGAGTCAGAGAAAACGTCATCCTCAACGCCGCAGGACAAAAACAATGAAGGACAATGAAATCGCCCGCCCGGAGAGCCACACTGGCAGCGACCACCGTCCCTAACCAAAAAAAGTGATAAAAAATAACCTCGATAATACGTACCGTCAAAGAAAGAAAAGAACAATCGACCTCTGGGACGACGTTCGAAACAAAAGCGTCCATTGGCGGGCCGCGCCTTCGTGACCTTTTTCCCTGCCCGCGGCAAAAGGAACAAAAAATGCGATCACATGGGCAGCATTCAAAAAAACTCCTTTCATCAGACTCCATCATCCTTCCCCCACTTTTCGTCAGTTTTTTGTCAGCTGCACGCGCCTATGGCCTCGACGACGTGGAAGGAAGAAAAGGTCTTTCCAACACTTTCAGCCGCTCAGACAACAACTCACCCACAGACGGCAAGTCCGTGTGGCTCAATGGAAGAGCATCTGACTACGGATCAGAGGGTTGCAGGTTCGAGTCCTGTCACGGATGAATTTTTTTGCCTATTTGCGGCTTGCATTTTGTAAAAGCGAACACGATTTTGGAAAAGGAAGCGCTCCATCCGGACACGTGGAACTCCGGAAGAACGCTTGAGAGATCAGCGGTTTCTATTCCTGGGACGAAGCCCATATCAGGAATTACTCTGATAAGAACAGTTTAAAAACTTGATCTTAGCTAAATAGCCGAGAAGATATACACAGCCGTCTCCAATAACAGTGTAACCTCGTAAAAATAGTTTCGAAACCAAATGGGGAATTTTTCCATCGTAATCTTACAAACGACGGGCAACGTTACTTCTTAGCTTAAATGTCTAAGACGCTCCAGAGTCCGCAACAAACATTGCCAAGGGTCACGGGTTCGATTCCAAAGAAACGCCAACTTTTTCCCAAACCCAAAAAACAGACCAACACAACTCCCACATTAAAGAAGCCTAAAAAAAAGCGGGGATTCATTTTGCACGGTCCCCGAGTGGAGCGATATTGGCGCCCGACTCTCAGAATTGGTACGCCAACATGGCGCTGTCCGGGCGCGGCTCGCCTTCATTGATGCAACCGGGACGTCGGATGCGACGTCAGCCGCGGCCGCCTCAACGACAGACTTGCGCATGGATTTCGGGACCCACCACCAAGCCCTGGGTGGATTCGAGCCTTACAGGACACGTTGCGAATCGCCGGGCGCCCCAAATACCAAATTTCGAGACCCAATCGCTCCTGCCCATCGTGCGGGCGCGGCCCGGGAGTTGGGGGCCCACCGAGGGCTCATCATCGCTGAAAGGGAGCGCTTGAGCACGGACCACGCCTATGCCATCGCGGGCGCGCGGAATCGAAACACCGAGCTTCACTCGCAGGCGGAAGAGGCGCATAATAGCCTATCGGCGCGCGAAGCCGGCATCGCGGTCGCCGGACGCGAACAGCAGTTGGAGGCAACCCGCGCCCAACTACAGGAACGAGAGGCACGCGCTGGCGCCAGAGAAGCGCCGCGAGCCGCGCGGGAGGCGGAGACGGCGGCCAGGGAAGGAGCCCCCACCTCTCGGAGGGGCCCGGCAGACGGACCAGCCACGCGTCAAAATACGGCCGAAGATGGCGGTATTAAACGGCAGCGTCCGACGCGTCGTTTGGTGGTTGGGGGCGCGCCATCACGCACGGCCCGACGAAGCCCGGCAGACGAGAGACAGTAGGTAATTTCCCAATCGTCCCAGGGCAATTTTGGGAGACCGCATTTCTATCCCTCCATGCCTTTGCCCTCTTGCGCCCTCCCCTTGGACGCCCATTCTGGCACAGAAGAAGAGGAACGAAGTTTTCGCGCGTTCGACGCCACCTCTCGGGCCACACGTGTGTGGAATGAGGGCGTTTCCGGAGTCGTTGCCGACCTCCGGGGCGCACACGACCATTGGCGACAGGCGGGCGGCCAGGCTGAACCTCCCTTTGGCGGTTTGGCTTTGTGGACGCGCGCGCGCCGAAAGCGGAGCACGATCCCGCCGACCGTTTCATGGATTTTGGCCGGGCCTTACTGCCGGCGTTCCGGACGCGGCTCATGACGGCGTCCGACCCCAACGCCCCGCTCTCCAAACAGCGCGCCCGACTTCACACCGCCGTTCGTGAAGCCGACGCCTTTGCGAGGGCAGCCCAGCCTCTCGCGGAACGGGGAGGGGCACAACGACCGCGCGACGTCAGCGGCGTCGCATTCGTGGGCGCGAGGCGTCCGCACGCAAAGCCCGAGGCGCGGCCAGAAGGAATCAATCGCGACGCGGACGGCCGTCAACAACGGCGGCGGCCCCACCCATGCCGCCGCCGCTCGCCGTCCCGCACAGGCGGCGCGCCGAACCTCCACTCGATATTTCAAATTGCCCGACGCCATCGCCGAGAAGGGCGAAGGGGCTTGTTCGCCAACGGAGCCCGACTGTGGTGCGACGGTGCTCCGGCACCCCCGCTGCGGGCCGGCGACGCGAGGAGGGCGAGCGAGGCGGCTCGGGGATTGTTTGCGACGTCGGCGTGGGGGCGGAGAAGGTCGCAGGCGGGCGCCCCACAGCCTCCCGCCGCCCGCGCGAACAGCCGAACAAAGAGGCGAGCCGCGCGGCCTTTTCGATGGCAATCGACGCGGCGCCACCGACCCGACCGCAGGACGCCAGGATGCCGCGGCCCATGTCGCAAATGAATCGGACTCCGCTGGGCGTGGCGGTTCTGGGGTTGCGAAAAATCGCGGCGCGATCGGAGACGAAGCGGACGCGCCCTTTAAAAAGGAAGAGGCGGATCCATTCATCCGCAGCCGGGCCGAAAGGAAGTGACGGGTTGCCTTTCGACTTGCGCGGATGACGGCGAGTCGTTCGACCTTCCAGGAACACAGCGCGATATCCGGGGAGGCGCGCCACAACGCCGGCCCAGGCGTCGCCGCTGGCCGCGTTGATGCGAGGGAAACCGCGGAAGGACAGGAACCCTGGCCGACAGTAGAGGAGCGTTTTTTCCGCGGTTTTCGCCATCGCCCCGCCACCACCACAAGACGCGCGACAAGGACGCGTCGGGCGGTCCTCTTTTCCCCAGCCCTCCGCCACGTCAGGCGGAGGCCCGCGGAGGATTCCAGTCGACGACGCGCGATTATTGAATTAATTGGGAATAATTGAGGGCGCTTATTCTGCGATAGCAGGTGGATGGGTAATGCCCTTTGCGTTTGCGGAGGGAAAGGCCACCGGTTTTCGACGACGATGGATCGCGGGGCCGCGCGACAATAACAGACACGACCCTTCCGAGGCTCATGTTCATTTTTTGCGCATTTCCCATTATTTGCCACCTGTGATGGCTGAGGCCGCTTCCTGCCTGGACTCGAAGGCGTCTTTTTCAACTCTTTTTACCGCGGGAGACTCGGCACCCCTTTTGATTCTGCGTGGGGGACGGCGCGCTGGTGGGGCTGGCGCGGCCCCCAATGGGACACAAGGCCGGCCCAGAAATTCGCCAGATTGTTATCAGCAGTTGCCGAGGCGACGACGGTGGTTCACCGCCTCTGGGCCGCACCTCCATTGGTGCGTGTCGACGTTTGGATCGACAATATGCGCGTCACAAGGTCGAAAAGCGACGCGACATCGTGGGAGGCCCAAGCGCTTCGTAACCCGGACGGCCGTCACGCCACGACGGGGAAGGACCGCGAATCGGGCGCCACGCAGCACACCTTCCTGGGGGCGCGGTTCGATCACGCTCCGGACGGTGTCCCTGAGTGACGAGTTTGCCCGGTCTGTACGCGCCATGCCGGCGCTCAACTCTTTGACCATCGCGGAAATGGAGGTTATGGCGTCACGCTTTTTGTACGTGGCGGCCATTTTGGGCACGCGTTTATGTGACCGCCACTTTTTCATCAAGACAGTGCGACGACGATTGTCCGCACGTAACCGGGGATTGTGGAGAAGACATCCCCGGCGAACCTTCCGCCGGCAGCGGTTGGCTCGGGCGAGAGATTGCGACACATCATCGAAAATACAATCGTAAGCGAATCATCAAGCCCACCGAAAAGGCATCGGCCGCCATCATCACGGACGCATCGATCCATGGATGGGGAGCCGTTTTTATTCTCCAGACTCCGGCGACGTTAAAATTGCCGGAGGAAAATGGAAGAGGGAGCGTTTTCTCATCACGCAGGCCGAGGCGCGCGCGGTACGCTTTGCCGTGTCGGTCGTTTCCGACATCTAGCCACGCACCGTCGGCGTTTGGGTGGACAGCACTTCACCGCAAGGAGCGGCGAATAAAGGCAGCTCAAAATCACACGCCTTGATTTGGAAGCCGTGACGGATATATGGTTTTTGGGCTCACGCGGAATACAGGCATCCTTCGCATACGTGCGGTCGGCGGACAACCCCGCAGACGGGATATTACGCGGTCGTGTTTTTTTACACTTCAGGACTTGGCGAGGGGAAGCGGCGGTGTCTTGTGGCTGGAGGACCCCGAAGTCCGCCACTCCGTAATTAATAATATTCCAGATTTTGAGTTCAAAAGGCCGCGTGAGTGGTCGTCAGAATGCATATATTTTATCACAAGAAAACATGATGCATTTAGCCGCTTCTGCGCTAACCCCTTTTTCCCTATCTTTTTTGGTTTCTTGAGATAATTTCAGGGGCCGGCCAGCGGCCCAGATGATTATTCCCATTGCTTATTTAAGAATTTTTATTATTATTCAATTCTAATAAATGCATACATCAAATAACCAAATGTACATAAACTCTTTGATGGCTCAAACCATCCGATGCTATCGAATTCGTGAATATCTATATTATGTGCGTCAATCCCTGGCGCAGCCGGCCGCCTCAGCGTGGCGCCAGGGTCTAGCACACTTGCCAGAGAGGAAGCTAAGCGTCTGCTGTTTATGCTTCGAACCAGATGCGTACTTGTTTACTTAGTTTTACGGGCCGGAAGGGCAGATGTTGGAGCCATTCTATAGTGGCTGCCCGCGGGGTAAGGTTATCCTTGCCACTGAATTCCAACGTACGCTTACCAGAGCTGCACAATTGAGGTGTAGTCAATCGATTGGTAAGGGCAAAGAAAAAGCTGCGTCAGTACGCGTTGATTATATTTACAATGCACCAACGGCATTGCCAAATAAAAGAAAAAAAAAAATGGATTAAAACAATTGAAAAAATGAACACATCAATTATGAGAGCCGCGCCGTCCTGTTTTTGTTTTTGTTTTTGTTTTTGTTTTTCCTCGCGTTTTTCAAATAAATCCGAAAACCCGCACGGCGGCCACCATCGTCAAGCACGTCCGCCCTGCTGAGTGAAGACGTGAAAGAAAGCCCCGACACCCGGAGATGGCGCTGCAGTGGGAAGGCGCGAAACACAACCGCGTGACGCATCCGCCCCCGGACTGGCACGATAGCCCGATAATCCGGCGTTGCCGAGAATCAATGAAATAACAAATCAATAAACCAGGCAATCTATAAAAAATGGAAAGAAAGTAAGAAATAAATGCCACCAGCATCGGCTTTATGCCGCATCTGCGAGAGCTCTTGTGCCCTCTCGTCGCGCGGAGGCGCCGCTGGCAGCAGCGCCGTTCCACCTCAAAAAGGAATCCGCGCCAACTTCTTGAAGCACAATTTCCTCACTTCTCCGGTGTCCACTCCATGTTTTTCTCCAGGCGCCGGCGGAGCCGGGCAGCGGAGTAGATGCGTACTCGTCCCCTCGCACAGTTCACGCTGGCCTGATTTTAATGATGTCCGCTCGATGCCTGTGGCTGGCCGTGCGGTGGCGGGTCCGTCCGTCACTGCTGCAGCGCTGAAAACCGCATGTCGGACGTTGAACTTCTACCGGTCGTAATTCCATCGGGCTGCCGCCCGCCGTGCGAAGTGCGCTTTCACGGCGACAGCGTGGCGCTGATGAATGGATTTGTGCGCGCCACTTTGGACACACACGGTGCGCTGTTCCCCGGTGGCATTCTCTTCTGCGCGGATTCAGGGTTCCTGTGTGAGTTGGATGTTCTTTATGCGGAGGTTCAAATTTTGCAGTGCGTGGTTATTTAATCTCCATTTTTTTGGTGTCCTGAATTTCTTGCTGTCGGGTGTTTGTGCCGGGTGTGGGTGGTCAGCCCCGGGCACTGCCCGCCTGCCCGTCACATTGAGGGCATTGAAGGAGTGCTGTGTTCTTTGGTGCTGGCTGCGGCTCTGTTCTTGAGCGTTCTTTTGCTCTTATGCGGGATATTGGTCCTGCTATCACTTGAACCCTGAATTCACAGTAAGTGCGTTCGAGCGGGGCGGATGGAGTCAGATATTCATATTCCTGGGGATGCTTCCTAATTGTCCGGGGCGGCCTTGATTGTGGAAGTGCCGGAGATGAAGTCTGAGCCCGTCTTGTTGGTCGTACGACGCTGTGCGGAAACTGCTTGAGAGTTTCTTCGGCCTGGGCCGTGCAGTCTGCGGCGGAGGTGCGATCAGTGTGCCGTTCCTTGCCCTCGTCCTCGCTCAAGTGGCGGGTGTTGGTTCCGGTGGGATTTCTGGCGGTTCCAGCTCGCCGGGGAACTTGACGTTCCACAGCGCGTGGGAGCGCGTAACGCCATCGGCGTTAGACATTTGCGTCACGACACCAGGGAGGGCGGCAAGCACGGCGCCTGCCGGGCGTCGCATCGTGGAGGTGTGAGGCCCAGCGGGAGGAGAAGGTATTTTCATGCGAATTTCTTGGCGTGCCTGCTGTGCGGCATCTAGGCCGCAGCGACCGTAGCAGCCATCCGTATTTGTGCGAAACCCCGGTGCGGAAGCGGGCCAGTGCGGCCTCTTCCCCACGAGTGAGGATGGCGTCCGTGTGCGTGGGTTCCCAGTCGCCTGCTACGGTGGGGCGATGAGCTTCTGGCTTGAGCTGTCGGGCACAAACAATATGTTTGGACAGTGCGACCATGCCGGTGATCCATGTGTCTGTGAGCTGTGCGAGGTCGGATGCCTTCTCGGATTTCGCACCACAAGCTCCGTTCCTGGACACGCCGCAGTGGCCAACAACAAGCTGCATCCGTGTGCGCGCTCCTCGGCGCTGCGGGTGACAGAAAAGGGCACGTCGACAATGTGAGCCACCACGGGATCTAGAACCGTGAGAGGAGTCGCTTTTGTAGTGCACTGAGGAGAGATTGTGAGCCTGTGAAGGTTGAAATACTGTACGGCGCACTGCCTGTCCGAGGGATGCTGCTCAATGGCTTCCTTACACCAAGGTGTTGGTCGATGCATTCTGCTCTACGGCTGCATGGCACCGGTCCTGCGCCGGCCCTGGCAATGTTGATTGGTTTTCCATTCAGGTAGAGCATCGCCGCTGCTCCCAATTTTGACGCCGAGTTCCACAAAGCCGTCTGTCCATCCTTCGCGGCGTTTTCTTCTGGGTGTGGCGAAAGGCCTGTGCGTCAGATGTGGCGGGCGAGCCAGCGGTCACAAGTCTGGTGCTGGACCTCGTCGGGGCCATCTGCAGCGGCACCGTCGCGGGAGGCGCGGGCAGCGAACTTCCATCCGAAGCGCAGGGCGCAGGGCCATGATGAAGTCGTAAGGTTTTCTGGCGGGGTGCTGCGGGTGGCGGACAATGGAGGCACTAAAACGCAGAGCATTACTACGCGCCTCGCATCGGGGAGGGGCTGCAGCTTTGCCTCCAACACGGCACACTTCATTCTACTTACTCTCGGGTTTCACGCAACTATTTTGCTCGCCTGCTACTTTGCGGGATCCGGCGTGCAGCGGGACGTCGGGAAGGCCACCCAGCAACATACTCTGACGCCGTGCGTCGCCTCCGCCTGCGGCAGCGCAATGTGCACCGGCCTCAGTGTGTCCCTCCTAGTTCCCCATGCAAAAGACAAAATCGTTGCCAGTTGGAGTGGGCGCTGATCCAATTCCTCATGGCGATTCGCCACGTGTGCTCATTCCACGAGGATGCTGGAACTTGACGTCCAGAAGAGTCGGCATGTGTTCCATAGTGACCGGGGCGTCCTCATAAGCGAGGCGCAGTGGGGCCGTGTTGCCGCTGCCAAGGAGAGTGTAACTAGTCTTTCTGGCATTTGCCGCCATGAAGTATTCTCCGGTCCACTCTGCGACGGCACTCAGGCCTTCTTTTGAGGCCGAGTTGATCGTATCTCTGTTGCCCTGCTGTGCGATGGTGGTGGGGGCGTCAGCAATGAACCCTCGGCGAATTAGGGTACGTTCGAAGGACAAGGACGACGGGACCGCAAGACGACGACGAACATGATAGGTGACGGCGCTGTTCCCTGCGGCGCGCCTCGTGTGAGGGTCCTGGAGGAGGGTGCGAGTTTGTCGATGCAAACCACAGCACTTGTGCTATTAAGGCACGCTGCTGACCAGCGAGAAGCAATCAAAAAAGGGAAGAGAAAATAAGGTTCAACCAATAATAGCGTGGAATTCCGCCCGCATACCGCACCTCTTTTCGCTGCCTCAGAGCCGCATGTGCGCTCTCGCCTGCCCGCCCGACAATACCAGGCAGCCGTCCCACTGACATTGCACAAACACATGCGCACGCATTGCCATCATTCCCTCCAAAAATAAATAAATAAATACATAAATGTATCCGCACGATGGCGCTCATACAAGTTAGGCGTGTAATGCCTGAGCCTCCGCGATGCGCTGAAAATACCAACATGACTTCCTCGCGTCCTTCAAGAAACCCTGGAACTCCACATGGCCCTCGTTCAAAACAACAACGTGGGTAGCGTTTCGGATCGTCGAAAGACGATGGGAGACAACGACGATCGTCATGCAGCGAGGCGGTCCCAGCAACCCCCTTAATGCCTCCTCGACAAGGCTTTCATTGTACCCATCCAAACGGGCAGTCGGCTCATCACACAGGAGCACCTTCAACCCCCTGCAGCCGATTAGGATTGCACGAGCAAGTGCCAGGCGTTGCTTTTCCCCCGAACTCAAGGGCCCCGCAAAGTCGTCGTATGCAAGGGCACGGGACTCAACAAATCCCTCGCAGCGACACAGTTTCGCCGCCCTCACGACATCCTCCATGAAAACACCGGGGGCAAACAGAGAAAAGTTCTCATAATAGGTAAGTCTTTCAAAAATACACGGCGCTTGCTCCAGCATCCCTACTGCCGACCGCAAATAGGAAGTGGAAAAAAACCCTATAGGAATATTGTCAATTAAAATAATATTGTTCACAGTTCCATCTGTGGTGGGTGGCGTGCTCGCACATAAACAATGACGAAGAACATCAATTAAAGCTTGGCTATTACACCATGCATTGTATTCCTCATTAATTCGCAATTTCGGCAAAGGATCATACATGCGTTTTAGCAGACTTATCATAGTGCTTTTTCCAGATCCTGTTGGTCCAGTGATAGCCGTCATTTGGCCAACTGGAAATCGCACAGTAATGTTCGACAAAGTGGGTTGCAGGGATCCATCTTCCACGTGATGATGAAGCTGCGGGTAGGCAAAGTAAACACCACAAAAATCAATCCCTTTTAACAACGAAAATCCGCCAACAATGCGGCCAATGTTATCAAATTCAACTTCCCCATGAAGTTGAATGACCCTTCTCCACGCCCGGCGGCGCTCCATCAGTGGTGGCGCATAATGAGTCGGAGAAGCATCATGCAAAGTAGTTGGCAAATGGCGGGAAAGCTGCACGCATAAAAGAAAAGGAGGCCCAAAGCTATCATCACCGTACACCTTCAATGTGGCACGGTAGCCACTCATGCGTCCCAAAAGCGAAACGCCACCCAAAACGCCAAATGTATCTTCTCCTGTACGGTGAACTCCACTGCCGCACAAAGCCGGAGAAACAAGGTGGCGAATGATTGGCCACGATTTCCAGGGCGACTTTACATATGGGCTGAAGATGGCGTAAAAAATTACTCGTTCTGTAAATTCCATCAGATGCACAAACGTTCGTGCAAAAACATTATGAAAAGGACTCGATACAAAATCAACAAGAGACTCTGTGAGAGAACGAAATTCGTTTTGATTAGCTACCATGGCTGCCCTGTAAGCGAAGACCGTCTCGAGGCCAAGCTGACGAAGAATAAATCGCGGTGGTTTATCGAACACATCATGAAAGGAGAGTGTTCGCGGAATATGACTCATACCTTGCGGATTTTGTAAGAGAGCAATTTCTTCAGAATGCAGAATGGATTCCGCTTTCTTATGCAAAGCGTGTCCTTTACCAAAGTCCCTCGTTCCTATTCCAGCAGTCACCGGTGCCTCGGAGGTTTGAAGAGCCACTTTTAACACAAATTCCCGAACAAATGCGGCGTTCAGCCTAAGACTTTCTATAAGCGAACCTCCACATAGTTTTTGCCGGCACGTAGATGATTCCGTTGCCACAAGAGAATAGTCCCCACTGTTGACGACATCATCCAGAAGCCTTTCAAGCGCCTTAAGATGATGCCGAGTTGTGGTGTCGCCATTGCTCTCCGGGAATGTATTCGCTGAGAGCGGCCAGTCCAATAGAAAATTTCCCCCACAGACGATAAGTGCGAGACACGGGTGAGATTTTTTGTTCCGCTGGCATGTACGAGGCCTCGTCTCCTCGTTTCTTCCCCCCTCCCCTGCCAAGACGTCCATCATAAGGCGGAGTCCGTAGCGCGGCTCTGCAGGCGGAAGCCCTTCCTCCTCCATTTGCGCTAGCTCATGGTACAACTCCTTATGAACCGTGATGCCCAGCCAACAGCTGAGAACATGCGCCGTCTCGTGGTAATCAAACAACGCAACAATGGCAGCAAACAATGCAACGCCAATCTCGCGTCGCCATATACTGAGCAGAACCACAATAATGCGCGCCATCACTCCTCGCCGCTCGTAATCGAACCGGCCAAGAATTTGCGACGCCACATGCCCGGCATAAGACGACGACTTCTCGACCGGATTGTCCCGTCCTGCAATGCCTTCTTCAATGCAGCGCCTCAAAAAGGCTTCATCCGCCGTGGCCAATTTCACATTCAGTTCATGGTGCAATTCGTTGCGCAATACGGCGCATATGTTTGCCTTGACAGAGTCATCCAAAGACCAAATCACGGCCCTCATTATGGCCCCAAGCGTATCCCGAAGAACATGCCCTGAAAACCCCATAAGAATTTTATGACGATCCCCATCAGTTGTGGTGGGGGAAAGAAATTTCAACAGCATCCATTCCGCAAAGAAGTTGTACTGTGGTGCCATCAAACCTATACCAACACGGACGGCATGACTCAGTGAACGCAGGTGTAGTAGCATCTGTAGCCGACGCGAGACACGCACGTCCCGTAGCAACACATCACATCCGACGCACCTCTTTCGTTTATTACGTGTGGGGTAAAAAACACCGTCCTCCCCATCTTCCATGTCAATCCCTTCACCTGTCACCAATTCAACCCCTTCAAACAGTTTCTCTTCGTAGAAACGACGACACACCGCTTCACCTCGCTGAAGTTGCCCCTTCGCCAACGGTGTGGCATATGTAAGGAATAAACGATCAATCTCATTCCATAACAGCTGCCACGAAGAAGGGAATTTCCACTGAAAAAGAAGACGCACAAGACGAATTGTACGCCGTGTCCTCAACGTATCAGAAATATAACGCAAAGAAAACTCTTCTGACAGAAGCGGCAAGATATCCACAAGTTTCTTGATCCATGTTTCCTCTGCGGTACTAGTGAGGATGGCCTCAACAGGGAAATAACTCAATGGAAGGCAGAGATAATGCCCTGAATCCTTCCCAGATAAAGGTACAATCCAAAAAGGGCGTCGCCCTACAAGCCATAAAGGCATACGTGGAGCAGGAACGTCCATCGCCGCATGATCCCCACTTCCTCCGTAGAGGGCACTGCGCCAGAGCGCTGCATAATACCGCGCTTCCGCCATCAAAGTGAGTCGTCGAAATGCAACAAACTTGATGATATAACCCAGTCTTTGCATCCATAGCATGTCTTCCACCGCTGATGCACACAGATAACGGCCAACATACCAAAGACGCAGCCATTGGCCCACATTTACCGCAGGTGCATACGCCATGGAACACACGGCACCATGAAAAGGGGCAACGTCACTCTTCACTTTCTCATTTTCTTCATGGAGGTTTAAAAATCGTTTATGGTGCACGTCAACTGTCGTGGACGCAGTCATTAGTTTATCCACCTCCAGCAGGCATGGCTCCTCCCACTCCTCCACGATTTTTTTTACAGAGGCCAGAACTATCACCCTGGATCGAAGTCGCATCTGGGAGCTCCAGCGATTTGTGAAACATCGCACCGCCACTACAAGACTCAGTGAAAAGATGACGCTATACAGAAGAGCATTGGGGGAATGCAATCCCTTTCTTAAATATCCCTTCATTGAGCACCACTTCCCCACCCACCACACAACGGGGCAAAACAGGGGGGGGGGAAAGAATAAACCCAAAGAGGGAGAGTGATTGGCGGAAGCAAAGGAATAAGAGTCATGCAATACATGTATATATTATATATACATACATATATATATTTTCTGGGTGGTTCCCATCCACACAAAAGGGCACCGCGGCACACGCTGAAGAGAAGGACCCACCCACCCCACAAACACACATACAAACGCGCACTCTCTCTCTCTCTCTCTCTCTCGTCCCCTTTCCCACCGCTCTTCCATACACAACCCTTAGAAGAGCAGAAATCGTGAGAAAACAAAGAAGGTAAATATATACACACATGCATATATATATACACCCACCGTACATATTTATATGTATGCATGTGTGTGTATTCCAAAATCAAAGCACACACACACACAAAAAAAAAACAGCGAAAAGGCTGCATTCATTCAACAACAATAAAAATATACATATTTATATTTATTTATTTTATTCACATAAACCCACCGTTGAGACAAAATCATGACCAAACAAAATAATAATAATAATAATAATAAAACACATACATGTACACACACACACACATGTACATATATATATATAAACATAAGGCACACACACACACACACAAAAAAAAAAAAAGTCAACCGAACGCACTTATAAATCAAAATACATATAAATAAATGAACACATTTTGCTGCGTGCCC